TTTTTTTTTTATTATTTTTTTTTTTTTTTATATATATATATATATATATAATAAAGAAAATGTATTTAGTAGATAATGATTAAAAAATATATATTTAATTTTTCTTTATCTTGGACATTCTTATTCCATTGAACCTAGAAAATGGCATACTGGTTTGGGATGTCATGAAGGTCATTAGGAATAAATAATGACAGCCTTTTCATTACTGTGTGTGCTATTCCTCTAAAGTCACACTTCCTCAAACACTTTTTTTTTTTACCATGAGCAGGAAATTGGAGACATAGGCCACCTGCCTGCAGATCTGAAGCTTGAAAAGAAACCAGTCCCTGCTGACAACGAGAGTGACAGCGATGACTCTGAAGTGATGAACAGCACTTCCAGCTTTCTCCGGAGTAAAAAGAGAGGTCTAAATAACTTCAAAAACAGCTTTTTCTCTGGCTGCACACCCATCCGTGAAGAACATTAGCATTAAAGTAGTAGAATGTGATATATAAATACTTGCTAACTTGTCTCTTTTTTTTTCATGTGGTTTAAATGTATGCATTTGTTTAAATTGGTAATTGTAATATAGGTTTGTAATAATGGTTAATGCACTAACAATATGAACTGCTCATGTCATTGGTTATTTTATAGTCTCTTAAGCAAAATAGCTGTATGACATTTGAAAGTCAGGGTTGTAGATGTTATTTCTATTAAAAATCTAGTGACTTCAATAAATGGTTCATTTTATTTTTGTTGTTTATTACTTAACATTACTATGTTAAAATATCTAAATACACTATTAATTTTTATGCTCAGTTAATTCTAATATTACATATTGCAGGTGACAAATGTGAATTTTAGTGCTCAGATTTTATATATTTTTTTTTTCATTGAACAATTCCATAAATTGTCCATTTCTATATTGGCAAGCAGAACCACACAGGGCTTTGTACTTCAGGGGGTCTCGTGAAAATTGGCAAAGGGATTGTGACTTGGCCATAGCTTACACACCATAGCAGGTCCCAGCTAGAAATTATTATAATGCTTTTGAACTGTTTGCGAATAATATTTTTTATTTTAAAATATGCACTGATACACTCTTAATCATATGCGTAATATGCAGGAAACTCTATTGATATTTCTTGTCTTGTCACATTCAATAGCAAATTAAATTAATCATGAAAATCCTTTAGCAGACAAAACAGGTGAAAATTTCTCATAGACTTAAGGAGCAATCTGAATCATATCTACAGACCAGTGCTGGGGAACACAGTTAGTCTACACTGACACTGCAAGCCTTAGTTTTGTTTTTTGTTTTTCTTTAAATGTGGCCAATGTCAGATATGAGTGTGAAGTGGTCATGGTCGAAAACTAGGATTGAAGGATTGTGAGAAAGAGCAAAGTTTTTTTTCTTGTGTAGTTTTTCCTCAGGTTTTGCTTGCCTAGATCTGTCACCATAATACTTACAGTAGTTCTAACACCTCACTGTCCTTCCACTAACTGCCTCTGCAGCTGTCTTCCATATTCCAGGGTTCATACAGTCATGAAAAACCTGGAAAAGACATGGAATATTAAAACGCAATTTCCAGGCCTGGAAAAGTTTTGGGAAAATTAATAAACCCAGAAAGTTTTGGAAAATTGGTGGAAATTTATTTCACAAATATCTTTGCAATAGAATATATTTTTAATCAGGTCCTGAATTTTGGTATGGTATCGCGCATATATTGCCTAGTTTTACTCTTTCCTGCAGGTTGAGAAAAGCCAACATATTATTATTATTATTATATTAAGTTGTGGCCTAATGGTTAGAGAGTCGGACTCGTAATTGATTGTTCGAGTCTCGTACCGGCAGGGATTGTAGGTGGGGGGAGTGAATGTACAGCGCTCTCTCCCACCTTCAATACCACGACTGAGGTGCCCTTGAGCAAGGCACCGAACCCCCAACTGCTCCCCGGGCACCGCAGCAAAAAAATGGCTGCCCACTGCTCCGGTGTGTGTGTTCACTGCTGTGTGTGTGCACTTAGGATGGGATAAATGCAGAGCACTAATTTCCGAGTATGGGTCACCATACTTGGCCACATGTCACGTCACGAATTATTATTATGCTATTTAAACTTATTATTATTATTAAGTTGGCTAGAGAAAGCCAACTTACTGAAATGCTATTTAAACTTATTAGTGGTGCTTGCCAAAGACAAAGCATCACTATTGTTCTCTTGCATACTTATTATTCTGCTTCTTCTTCTGGACAAAACTCAGCGTGCCATTCCTCCTGCACCGTTTTTTCTTAGACCCATGAATGAGGTGTCAAATCGACCGGCTCATTGAGTAGAGGTGTGCTATATCTTTTCTAAGCGATCGGACCTACGATGTTTGCACAGCGGACGAAAAAGCAACATGCTAATCATGCTAACATCATGCAAATCATGCTAAAAAATGCTAACAACATACTAGCGACATGCTAATCATGCTAAAAACATCCTAGCGACATCCTAATCATGCTAGAAATATAGTAGCAACATATTAACATGCTATCAACATTCTAATGTTAGAAACATGCTAGCGACAGGCTAATCATGTTAAAAACATGCTAAAAATATGGTAGCAACATGTTAATCATTCTATAAACATGCTAGCAGCATGCTAAAATTTCTATCTAACTTCTGTCTATCTGTCGATATATCGATCCATCCATAATGTATCTATCTATCTAGCTATCTATCTGTCTATCTATCTATCTATCTCTATTAGCAACATACTTGCTAATCATGCCAGAATAATGGTAGCAATGTTAATCATGCTAGAAACATCAAAGCAACTTGTTAGCGACGGGTTAATCATGCTAGAAATATTCTAGTGACAGGCTAATCATTTTAGAAACATCATAGTGACATTAATAATGCTAGAAACATGCTAGCAACATACTAGTGACATGCTAATCATGTTCAAAACATGCTAGCAACAGGCTAATCTTGTTAAAAAAAGCTAACAACATGTTAGTGATATGTTAATCGTGTTAGAAACATGCTAAAACATGTTAGTGACATGCTAATCATACTAGCAACATGCCTAGTGAAATGCTAAATATGCTAGAAAAATGCTAGCAACTTGCTACAAACATGTTAATGTCATGGTAACAACATGATAATCATGCTAGAAACATGTTAGCAACATGCTAAAACATGTTAAAACATTCTAGCTATGTGTTAATTCATGCTTTAAACATGTTATCTATCATCTGACAATATCTATTTATTTTTCTGACAGACTGTATTGCCTTCAAAACATTCAAACTTTAAGCTTTAAAACTACTTTAAACTTGAAACTATTTTAAACTGTCTGACAAACTTTTTTATCTAGTTATAAATTTGGCTTGAAAAAGCCAACTTACTGATCTACTATATAAACTTATTAGCCATTAGCTTATTAAAGCCAACTTACTGGAATTATATTTAAATTTAGGCTTATGGTTTCCGCAATGCGCAGAATCCAGTCAAAATGGAATTTACTGTATAACGCAGAAATGGAATGTCATGGAATTTGTCAACTTTTGGGTAAATAAATTAAAATGTGGTCAGTACACTTAATCAAATCGCGATAAGGACAGGGTTTAAATTACACATGGACTGTATTTTATGCATCTATTGCTGAGGCGAGGCTCACGCAGCCTATCCAGGAGAAATCAAAATGCGCAACACTAAGTAACTCAGCATCCTGAGGTAAAAATTCAAAATGGAAAGTTTTTATATTTAAAATGCAGTTAGTTAGGCAACATCAAACAACGTTTTCACCATTACGACTGTTTAATAGTTCTATAAACAGTTCAATAAGCAAATACAATAATATTAGGTCACTTACATTTAAGGTGGAAATACAGCACATCTCACAGCAACCAGCCGATTCATTGCTGATAGATTCCATTTTTTTAACGAATCGGTTGAATCAAAGTTTCAAATAATTCTATAAACAGTTCAATAAGCAAATACAATAATATTAGGTCACTTACATTTAAGGTGGAAATACAGCACATCTCACAGCAACCAGCCGATTCATTGCTGATAGATTCCATTTTTTTAACGAATCGGTTGAATCAAAGTTTCATTAGCCCACGCATAAACATCTGATGAATCTGCCGTTTGAACGAATCGTTTGAATGAACGACTCAATGACTCACTCATTAAACACTACTGGCACTGGCGTTTTAATTTCGTTGAAAAGTATCATTTCCACAATTTCTTGTTTGTATATTCAAAAATATTTAAAAGAATCTCATAATATTATTTAATGCAGTTGTATTTTTCAGTGTAAATTATTTAAATTGATAACAAATGGATAATCACGTTATTATAATTGAATTTATAGATCAAATGTAAGAATTTGAAATGAAAGTATTAATGAGATTAGTGGGGAAATGCCCTCTATAAAGGTAAAAAAATGTCCTTTGATAAAATGTTTTTATTTTTATTTTTTTAAAGTGACGTGACATGTGGCCAAGTATGGTGACCCATACTCGGAATTAGTGCTCTGCATTTATCCCATCCAAAGAGGCAACATCACACAACGTTTTCACCATTACGACTGTTTAATAGTTCAATAAACAGTTCAATAAGCAAATACAATAATATTAGGTCACTTACATTTTAGGCGGAACCACAGCGCATCTCACAGCAACAGCCGATTCATTGCTGATTGATTCCTTGTTCTGAACGAATCGGTTGAGTCAAAGTTTTATTAGCCCACGCATAAACATTTGATGAATCTGCCGTTTGAACGAATCGTTTGAATGAACGACTCAATGACTCACTCATTAAACACTACTGGCACTGGCTTTTAAATTTCGTTAAAAAGTATCATTTCCACCATCATTTCTTGTTTGTATATTCAAAAATATTTAAAAGAATCTCATACTATTATTTAATGCAGTTGTATTTTTCAGTGTAAATGGTTTTATTTGATAACGTAAAGATAATCACATTATTATAATTTAATTTAAAGATCAAATGTAAGAATTTGAAATGAGATTAGTGGGAAAATGCCCTCTATAAAGGAAAAAAAAAATGCCATTGGATAAAATATTGAATATATAAATATTGAATAAAATGAGAATATTGCTTCAGAATAAATCATATTTGCAAAACACACACACACACATATACACACACACATATATATATATATATATATATATATATATATAAAATATCGATATCATAGAGCGCCCCCCCACATAGCAAATCCCAATTTAAACCCTGGATAAGGAGTAGTGTCTCTGAGTATTAAACCGCAAATATGAATCCTGCATGTTCTGAGTGTCTCTTTGTGAATGAACTGCGCAGAAGTCAGTGTTAATTTCATCAACTAAGACGACGATGAAAAATATTCGTTAACGAACATTTTTTCTGTGACTAAGATGACGTTGACGAACTAAAACTAATATCTGATGATAAAAACTATGACGAAATTTATGCCGCGTCTTCGTTAAGACGAGACGGGACTACAATGTTATTTGAAGACTACCGGACATTTGAAATATATCCTATAGACCAGTGGTTCCCAACCCGTGGGTCGTGACCCCCACTAGGGGTCGCAAATGATTTTCGAGGGGTCGCCAAGTGCACTCTTTTTAAAAAAAATTATTTTTTTTTATTTCATTTATAACAGCACATTAAATAATTATATTCTAAATATTTTTAAAAATAATTAATTTATGAAAA